TCCCTTGTGAACAGAATGAGGCAATGAACATGACTCCACCATCCAACAATCCCCTACTGCTGCAATACGGTCTCCTTTGAGATCCAGCACCGCAAGACTCCTCCTGGCCACCTTAATCCATGTTCGCTTACAACAATAGCTATGTTTCCATCACCCTATTTTAATGCGCACTTTGAAGTATCGCATGAGAAACGAGTGATGGAAACGCCAAATTTTGAATACAAATCCCTTACATTTTTACGCTCGCTTGAGGTGGTTTTTGACTTGTGCGAAAAAGGGTTGATGCGAATAATGGTAGATGGAAATGCATTTTGCGAATAAATTCCTCCAAGCGCATCAAAAAAGTCATGTGACTTTGCGGTATGGGACAGCAAAACCTGACTAACCAGCGGACCGATCTCATTCCACAGCATCTGAAATGTTGTTATGGTCATTCGGAAATGCACAAGTCTGTCATCAAAGTATTTCTGTATAATCGCCTCCCAGAAATGTCTTACACGACTGCGTTCCCAAACAGCAGCATCCACCTCCGAAAGCAATGACCGCATTCATTGTGTTTCGTCTGCTCGCACTGAGGCGCAAGTAATTTATTATATATGAAAATTATTATATTCTCCTACTTTTCTTAGTGATTTATAGTGCCAGTTTATCAGGAAGTGACAATTTAGTTCTCTTTGACTTGTTGGATGGGAACGATGCTTGTTCGCAAATGTTTTATGCGATATTCCAGTTTTGCGCATAAGTTAAATTCGCAACTTTGGATGGAAACCCGGCTAGTGATGGTAATAGGTGAGCGCCAACCAATGAGATTGCTGTTTCGCATTAGTTCCCTCCTTTGAGATCCAGCACCGCAAGACTCCTCCTGGCCACCTTAATCCATGTTCGCTTACAACAATAGCTATGTTTCCATCACCCTATTTTAATGCGCACTTTGAAGTATCGCATGAGAAACGAGTGATGGAAACGTCAAATTTTGAATACAAATCCCTTACGTTTTTAATCTCGCTTGAGGTGGTTTTTGACTTGTGCGAAAAAGGGTTGATGCGAATAATGGTAGATGGAAATGCATTTTGCGAATAAATTCCTCCAAGCGCATCAAAAAAGTCATGTGACTTTGCGGTATGGGACGGCAAAACCTGACTAACCAGCGGACCGATCTCATTCCACAGCATCTGAAATGTTGTTATGGTCATTCGGAAATGCACAAGTCTGTCATCAAAGTATTTCTGTATAATCGCCTCCCAGAAATGTCTTACACGACTGCGTTCCCAAACAGCAGCATCCACCTCCGAAAGCAATGACCGCATTGTGTTTTGTTTGCTCGCTCTGAGGCGCAAGTAATTTATTATATATGAAAATTATTATATTCTCCTACTTTTCTTAGTGATTTATAGTGCCAGTTTATCAGGAAGTGACGATTTTGTTCTCGTTGACTTGTTGGATGGAAACGATGCATGTTCGCAAATGTTTTATGCAAAATTCCAGTTTTGCATATAAGTTAAATTCGCAACTTTGGATGGAAACCCGGCTAATGGCAGTGTAGGAATTCTCTGGGCCAAAATATCATAGAAAATGGCTGAGGGATAAAATAATTCCCTATCTGCTAAATTCGATGTTGGTGATTAGTGTTGGGGAAAGTTACTTTTAAAAGTAATGCATTACAATATTGCGTTACTCCATAAAAAAAGTAACTAATTACGTTACTTAGTTACTTTTTATGGAAAGTGATGCGTTACGTTACTTTTGCGTTACTTTTAAAATCTGGACAGGGCTTGCTTGTTTGTTTTTAAAATAAAAAAAAGTTATATTTTTGGCAAATATAAAAGCCTTTTCACACCAAAAGCGAAATGAATAAGCCTCAGGCTGAAGGGAAAGTAAATTTACGTCCGTACAGTAGAATGCAGAAGAAGACATTTCAACACACTTCAGCAATAAAAAAAGACACACAAATGTTTGTCTAGAGTAACTTTTGCTTATTAGTGTGGTTGAACTGGATCATCGAAGGTCAGAAGCGAAGACATTGGTTAATAGAATGGGATTAAATACATAAAGGATATTTGTGTTTTTTAACATTTAATTATTGCAGGTTTGCGTCATATTCTGAGTTGCATTATTTTTATTCATTTTGAGGAATACTGAATCTGTGTTTTTTGTTTTTTTGTGAGTGATGAATTAATGCATATTCATATTTATTTTGGAACTACAGTAATATCTTCTGATTTCTCTCAACATGGGGACAGGAGAGCTGTCAATCAATAAATTGGAAAAAAAAGTAACTTGCGTTACTTATTTGAAAAAGAAACTCAGATATTCTCTTGTAAATTAAAAAGTAATGCGTTACTTCACTAGTTACTTGAAAAAAGTAATCTGATTACGTAACTCGCGTTACTTGTAATGCGTTACCCCCAACACTGTTGGTGATTGTGAATCTGACATTGTTACCCCCCCTAAACATTCACAGTATGATGCACATGATTCTGCATTAAAATTGTTGAAAGGGGGAGCCGAGCCAAGAACAGACAGGCATAGTTTTGAAAACAGTTCCTTGCACGTATATAAAAGGGACATGCATAATACAACTCCTTTAAGATCTTGAGCTGCTAACACAAAGGTTACAGGTTTCAAGATTTCAAATAGTTGACCAAACACTACAATCCTGTGGGAGTATGTGATCTGCCGTGGAGGCCATGTGATGTACCAGCAGTATCTGCAAGGATGTGATTGCAAAAACTGCAGCATTGATCCCGAAACCAGTTTGCTGAATCTGTGGATGTTTCGAGTTAATTGTGCAAATGGCAAAAATGTTTGCAGACTGTTCAAATGTAACTAATTAGACACGTCCTAATCACAGCGCAAGCAAAAACTTGTTCTTATACCTGCAATTTCTTTTCTGGAAACAGTCTCATTTTAGATTAACAAATGATACTTCCTGGATTGTTTGCAAGCAGCACAATTCTTCTGTAGGTTTGCAAGAATATTGCAAGAACCCCTAAACAATTTTGGGATTAATGAAGCAACATGCAAAGCAGACAATTTTCAGGGAACTTCCTTTGGAAATTGCGGATCTTCTTGAGCCGTGCTTGAGGATGCTTTGAAAGCTGCAGGGGTTAGGGATTAGGCTCAAGGTTAAACTGCGGTATTAGATCATGATTATTGTTAGTCGAGTCCTGGTTGCAGTAGCGGAGAGAAATGGATTATGGTACATAAAGCCTGCAGGATTATTTCAGCTGCATCCATGACTACTGCATCACAAATGAAGAGCTTATGCCTTCATGAACACCAAAACAAAGAGAACTAACTGCAGGAAAACTATATTCCCAGTCATGCATGAACATGTGCATATGTGTCTACGTGTATCCCATAAAGACAACATCTACCTGTTGCCTGGCAACATTTGAGGGCTAATTCAGGTCCAGTATTGTGTGCTTAGAATATATTACTCTTCATCATCCTCATGAACTCATACAGAGGATCTCCTTTCAATCATGACCTGTCCTCCTCCAAATCCCACTGTCCAGCAAAATAACCTTTCAATCCCTGTCCTCTTCTGTTATTACCTTGTGGTCTGAAATAAAGACTGATTACTTGTTTTCTATAACAAAAGTGTTACTGGTGATTGTTTATATACTGGTGATAGTCATATAGTAGCAAAAGCAAACAAATGCAGAACAGAATATTATAGCCCTATTTCTGGTGGTGTTCTTTGTGATAGGCATGTTTTGCTAACAAATGTTAAATACCAAATACAACTAATACTATACTGTGTACTAATCTTATAGTATTGGCCTCTCCCAAATGGTGCACTTGATGTGGACTTGCGGTGTCTTCATGGACATGCATGAGTGAAGACCATATGTCCATATCAAGTGCACTATTTGGGATAAGCCCTTAGTATAAGATTAGTATAGGACAGGGTGCTCCTAGAGATTCAACTACCTGCAAAACCCTAATCAAATACACCTGATCCAGTGTTTCTCAACCCTGTTCCTGGAGGCACCCAACATTACACATTTTGAACATTGTTATCTGACCTTATCTGACCCATCTATTCTGGTCTTATAGAGTGTCTACTAACAAGTTGATGAGTTGAATCAGGTGTGTCTGATTAGGAAGAGTTCAAAGATGTGTATGTTGGTGTCTACAGGAACAGGGTTGGGAAACACAGGAACCCTGTTCCTGGAGACACCCCAACAGTACACATTTTGGATGTCTTTCTTATCTGACCAAACCATTTCAGGATGTGACCTCTCTACTAATGAGCTAATGAGTTGATACAGGTGTGTGTCGGGGGGCCTTAGGATTGAGAAACACTGGTGTATAGAATTAATGTTATGTACTGTACTGTAGGCCTCTTTACCTTCAGTCATGGAAGACCAGTGTCCTGCTGAGTTTGATCAAGGTGTTCAGAATTATTTGCAGTTTACAGACAATTGGGTTAAATTGGGATTGGTAGTAAAGTCAGCAGGACATTGGCCCTCCAGGACTGGAGTTGAAGAGTCCTGGGGTAGGGTGTCCAATCTGACATCTCGTGATTCAGGGAGGTATTCATGCATATTTTTCAGAGTTAGCACTGATGCTGAATTCACAATGGATTATTATCTGACAGCCTACACCAGGGTCCTTCAACTCCACCGCTGGAGGGCCGGTCTCCTGCAGACTTCATTTCCAACCCTAATTAAACACACCTATCTGTAATTTTCAAGTAATTCTGAACACTGCGATACGCTTGTTCCAGGGTGTTTGGTTGGGCTTAAACCTAAAGTCTGCAGGACGCCAGCCCTCCAGAACTGGAGTTAAAGGCCCTGTCTCTTTAGGTTCGGGAAGCCAACATTGTGATATGTCCCAATGCTGCAGTAAATCCTGCTCGGAAAACACTCTCTACAATCAGACCAGAGACCAAATTACTCAATCTCATCAACCAGGCCCCAATTCAAATGGGGGTCCATTTTAAACTATGATGGTTGGACAGTAAGTGGAAGGTAGAGATGTCATCATCTCACCTTTGGCTGGGCCTCCACTTCCACCACCTGGTTTCTGTTAATGATGCCCTTGACGAGAGTCTCTACATTCCCATTAAACTTCATGAAGAGCACATAGGTGGCATAGGCAAGCAGCAGACTGATACTCTCCCAGTACATGATGTAGTTATCCAGGAAGAAAATTATGAGCATGACAAGGCCGACGATGTAGAAGAAGACGTCCCTGAACAGAGGCCACCACGTCAGGTTCAGGATCTCTTTCGAGAACACGGCACACATTCCGATGACAAACAAGATGTTGAACACAGCAGAGCCGACGATGGTTCCGATGCCCACGTTACTATGGGAAATGAATACGCCGATGACGGAGGTGAAGAGCTCAGGAGCCGAGCCCCCGGCCGCCATAAAGGTGGCGCCTGCCACGTCATCAGAGATCTTGAGTTTCTCTGTGATGACCGTGAGCGCGGGGACAAAAAACTCATCGCAAACAATAGCGAGAGCAATGAACATGTAGATCATGCCGAACATGTGTAACACAACAGCACCGTGCCGACGGTCCTCCAGGCTGAACAGGTCAGTCGGATAGCCCCCCTGACTCTCGTTTGACTCCACGGTCGAGCGCATGGCTATGGGTGTGTCCTCCGAGAGGTTACTGTGGTAACCCAGGTGTGTGGACAGCAGTGTCCTGTGTGGGGCGTGGCTGTGTAGCCCCTCCCACTGAGCAGTAGAGCGCCACGAGAAGGCCACTGCACTTATTGCTAAAATACTGATGAGGAGGCCGAGCACCCGTGCTGGCCTGAGTTTCTTCCACAAGCGCTGAGAGCGCTGGCGGGCACAGACGATCTGATGGTGCTGCACGTCGGAGGCCATGGCCGTTCTCTCTGCTTCGATGCTCATGTGCTCTCTCTCGTTACGCTATACTGTTGGGCTTAGCACATGCTGAGAATGCTACTTGTACAGTAAATCTGCAGAATCCAGATGTCCTTCAGCACACCAGAGGCTTCCTCATATTAGCCTGAGAAAAATAATCACAGAGAGAGGGCAGGGTCCTGGTTAATCACACACCACACAAAGCCAACAAGATCTGTGCTGCCAGGTCAGGTATGTCTGTGTGTAATCGGTGAGCGTGCACATGTGAATCTGTGAGCATCTGCGATTGCTGACATGTTCTTATTCTCAGCTGCGTCTGCATTTTCAAGGTCACAGTGAAACGGCACAATGTCAAAAGCATGTCTGCATCCCTCTCATGCCCGACGCAGCACATTTCACAGAATGCACCTTATATAACCACAAAATAAGAGCTAAAAATAATTCACATTGATACTACTAACAAATCCGACTGCCACAAAACATTTTGACGCGTTATTGTCTATTAAAAAAAAGAAAAAAAATGAAGAATGGAACTTTCATAGTCTACTTTTAGATCTTCTCATGCTTATGATAACACTTCTACAATCCATCCTGTATTTTCTTAGTATATTAAAGTGATTTACCCCATTTATTGTATTGACGCATTTACACTTATTGCTGGAAAGGATCAAATTAAATGCAAAAAAAAAGGTCCAGCATCAACTTCAGTACAGAAACTAGACATGTTGGGTCATTTGGTAAGATTAGTTCTAACTGTTGTTCTCTTGGTCTTTATCTCTAATTATTTGTTATTTTTTACTTTATCTGTTGTTTCTTGTAATGACAATGATACATACAGTGGAAAATAGGAGTTGGATTAATTTGTTATTTTGGGAATTTCTGATATTTGAACATATGGGTTACTTAAATATCGGAATGTCTCTAAACCCTTTATCATGCTGGTCGCGTTGTTAATCTCTCTATCTCTCTCCCAGTGATTTCAGTAAATTTCTCCATGCTGACTTCTAATCATGCTGCCATTTATCATGCTTTTATTAAAGGGGGGGTATGGCTGTCATACCTGAATAATCACCGTCTGTCTGACATGCCACACACACACACACACACACACTCTCACATAAACCCTCAGGTGGGCACACTGTTGCTTGCTCTCTCTCTCTCTCTGTGTGCGTGTGTGTGTGTTCGCGCAGGTGTCGCCGTGTGGCTCAGTGACGTCACTGAGTGGAAGCGTTGCCGTGGTTACAGCAGCGGCGTTCTCCGACTCTCGCATCATCACGAGTTTCGAACGATAGAAAAAGCACAAATCATGTATATGTATATGAAATAGAGAAAAAGAAAAAAAAATTTGATTAAAATAAAGTGAAAAAAGAAGCAGCAATATTAAATAATGTTTTTTTTTCTTTTAATTTAAAATACAAAAAAAAAAAAAAAAACATCGTTCCTGGATTGTTTGCAAGTAGCACAATTATTCTGTAGGTTTGCCACGATATTGATTAAACCCCTAAACACTTTTGTTTTGGGATTAATGAAGCAACATGCAAAGCAGGCGATGTTAAGGGAACTTCCTTTAGAAACTGCGAATTTGCAGGGGTGTGTGTGTGTGTGTGTGTGAGAGAGAGAGAGAGAGAGAG